GCAATGTGTTACTCAACAGACTTGTCATTGTTGGTTATCTTTCCCAAGAATACTTATACAAGCTTTTCAAAGGAAGTTTAGCAAAAAGAGCATCACTTCTTTTAAGGGGCAATATTGGGTACATTGCACTGTACAAAAGCGATTCAGTCAGTGACCGGTTTTTTTGACAGCCACTGAGCCATACCACAATGGATTCATCATGCCTGGGGGCGTGCTGGCCCCTGGCTGCCCGAGTGATTTAACATGCAAGAAATGATTCTATTTCATTCACGAACGTGGCTAACGTGTAGTGGCCGCCGTGGCGCATACATAATGTTTGGTCATGGCCGACAAAGGAGGAAAGTTCCAATGAAAAATATTTTTTTATAGTTGATAAAACATCATTAAAGAATTCTTGAAACTATATTCAAGGTTCACTATTTTTAAGAGGTTAATAGTTACGCACCACTTTGTTCGTCAGTTAAATTTTGAGAGGTTCACTTGCAGAAGAGAGGTTGCAGCTAACATGGCCTTCTCTTATGTTGGCGGCCCGGGCGGCCTTTTGCCCGAGTTTTCAAGGACAGTTTTGCGTGTGTATGACTGTATTGTTGTATTGTTGACTAGGCAACCCCGGAGAGGGGCGCCTCCCGAGCCCTTCTCCTCAGGCCTATAGCCTGTGAGATCGTCGACAACAGTGGAAAGAAGACCTGTGAACGATTTCACTCCACATATTTCGGAGAGGAATTTTCAAATTATTTATTTAATATTGTATTATATTTTAATTCATTGAAATATTAGATGTAACATTAATATATATTAAGTTGTAATATTTAATGTGTCAATAGCGCTTTGAGCAACTTTAGCAAATGAGTCCATCGCAGGAAGGAAAGAGTGAACAGCATCAGGTGCCAAGAAGACATCTTTTTATGCAAGATTTGTGGAAGAAGAGCTCATTGCGATTGCATTATAGAAAACTTGTTTCAGTTAATGACAAACTATGCCTATGAATTGAAGCTTGAATTGAAGCTGAAAACCCACATTGTTCAAAGTAAGTAAAATCATAATAGTGTCATAATGAAAGTCAAGTAAAATGTCAATTAAGTGTCAGGTGAAATTGTTTTGGGATTAATGTTGAATATTTAATGTATACAGATATTGGAAGCAAGACCCTGATACTTGCTCAGGACCTCTTAGGGAAGGAGTGTCAGGGATATGGGGAACAAACATGTTGTAGTGGGATATGGGTTTGGACAGGTCAGGGCGTGTGAATTAGCCACATTATTATTCAGCATGCTTACAAAGAGATGCGTAGTAAATTATTGACCTATTGCATGGAAAGAAATGATAAATTATTGAATATCTGACTTTTGATGGTTGGAATAATATTGAAACTGAACACTTGAAAGGTATTAATAGTGGTTTTGGATGAACTTGGGTCTTATTCAAAAGGCAAAGCAAAAAATCTACTAAAATTTTTATTAGTGGTTGAAAAATTTTGAAATTTCTAGCATATAAGGGAATGAGGAGAGCATATTTGCAGGTTAATGGAAATATGCATCTTTTTTAGAAAAGAGCAATTGTGTCGTGTTGATTAATGACTTATGTGTGTGTTATGATGAATATTCCGTTTGTCCAGTTTGAAAGGCACCTACATTAGGGGGTCAAGTATGATTTTATACAATTCAGTAGATCTTTACTAATTGTTTTAACAATCTAATCCTTTAGTTATGACCTTCTCGTCATGGAAGATAAACATGAAAGTTGCTCAAGCAAAAAATTTAGATGAAGGTAACTAGATATATAGTCATACATGCAGGAGGTGCAAATGCGTTAATCGAAGATGCCAGTTAACTATTGTTTCCAGTTCGAAGACAACAAAAAAAATAAGGAGATGAATATCATAGAACATGACAGCAGAGATGGTTTCAAAAAGTCGGATGAAAGAAGAATTACTACCTTGATAAGCAGAACCATCAGTCAGTTTATTGTTAAAGGAGGGAATGGCACCTGTTCAATGTGCTATGGTGAGTGACATTTTCTCAATTGTTTTTTTAGAAATGTGATGGAAAAAAAATTATCCCATTTGAAAATAATACTTTACTCAGTATATAAAATACCTGATTATTAAAACGAGTTCATTTAAAAACTACACAGTGGTAAAAATTGGATGTTTCACTTAAAAGCGTTTTGGA